CCATCCAATTATAAGCCAATTATGAGTATCAGGACGATATTACTTCCGCAAGATGTACCTGATTCTTTTTGCACCACGGCGAGTTTACCGACTAGTTGGAAAGGCGTTATGCCAATGCCAGCAGAAGAACTGATTGGGAAACTTCAGGATCGAGCACTGGGTGACGTTAATAACCTGCTGGATGATCCTAGGCAGGAAACACGGCGAATTGAAACAGGGTTGTGATAGTTCCCAGACAAACGAGGCTTCTGTCTAGTAACTATAGCGCTTCCTTCATTCACATATGTTCGCCTTGGACAAGCAGGTAATCTTCAGCAAAAAAAGTTGTAACAATAAAAGTCATCTGTTTCAAGGGGTATTGGACTTCTATTAACTGTAATTTGATAAGAAGTCGAACTTTTCAGATCACTTGATTTTAGTCAGAAATCTACCACCCATGGACTCTGACATACAAACACAATCCTTCCATTGTTTTGTTTCATTTCCGCTTTATCTTCGCAAAGCGATCCTGTTTACTATTCATTCAATCTGATGATGTATTCTGACCTCAATGACTGCAGTTCATGAAAAGGTAGGCAGTCAGTGACCAAACCCATAAAATTTTGACTGAAACTCTGACATGTGTTCTCTACTAGGCGCGACTGCCTTAGTGGGTTTTTAATACCGATTGTTGGGAAGAATGAACCCAAGTTCTTTCAGTCACGTAAGGACGTCGGCTTTTGAATACGTTTTTATCGTCTGCAACAACCCCACTCGGTAAGATGTGGCTGCGTAAGTAGTATGGGGTTTTCAGTTGTTTTTTGATGTCCACACAAATTTGAATATATTCCACAAAAAGCATGCTCAACAATATCCTTCTCTGTGTCCGTTTGCTTTCAAAGAACATCTTAAAATTCCGTAATCGAAAAGGACTGCGAAATGTCCGTTCACATTTCATCATACCTGTGCGTTTATTAATTCTGCTTATGAAGAATACAGTGTGCTCCATATGTCTATATGGCATCTTAATAGTGGCATGTAGGATTGTATGATTTTCTATACATGGAATGTATAGAACTTGTAGACTGTAAACCTTAAACCCAAATGCAAAGGCAGACCAGGCTCCTATTAATTCGGGAATAGGAAGAAAACTTTCTTAAGTCTAAATATACCCTCTCATCGGGGATCAACTTTGAAGAAGACATAATTTGTTACCAAACGAATATAATAAAGAATATTTTTGCGTATTTTTTCCTTGAAATATACGCAAATTTATGAGGACATCGAAAGTCGATGGAAAAAAATGCATGCTACTTAAATAGTCAGTTTTTACCCAACGCGGTTTTTGCGGACGGCGAAGACAAGTGTACTCAAAAGTCGAAATTTCGGTGTGACCGAAATATCTTGGGGATTACGCAACACCATAATCAATGTACTCTCTTGGTGGGCTGGAAGTGATGAATAAGGATTTCTCCCTTCTTTTTAGGCCACGTCGATGACGCACAAGTTGTTTCGAAACCACGTCGAGAATGCGCTTAACAATGGACTTGTCCTTTTTGTGGAGGGCATCGCAGAGGAGTTCGATCCCGGTTTGGATAATGTTCTTTCTCAAAGCTTCAGCAGAGTGGGCAACACTATGCAGGTAATTCTTTCGATTCATTTCCTACTAACGGTAGCGGGTCCGTGCAAATTGCTGACACAACTATATATTGGGGCTACAATTATCTAAGCGCAGGGGGACTTAAGCTGTATCCAGTTCACTCTGTCTTCAAAAATCCTTTGTGTTTTAATGGCGATAAAAATGAAGATAGATGAAAATCAATTCGCATTCTGTAACTGAACAGACAGTCGTCCTCGTCACGCAGGTGTAGCGTCCGTTATTGTCACTCAACGGACATGAACCAACTTCCTCTAACGCCAATATTCTATTCTCAAAATTCACTATACGTCAAAATTCCGAAGCAGCCGCGAAGTCTAACCCTAAGTTGCGAGAACAGGGTCAATTGGATAATTGATGACCCTCTGATTGTTGATTCCATGAGTTCATAATACCTCCACTGGACGACAGTGAGGGATAGTCACTCAGGATCGCCTCAAAATCTTCCATTACCCATCATTTTCACTGTGGCTTGGCAAGGCCATGCTGAATACAGAGCAGCAAACCGATGGCCGTTCCGGTTGGCGAGCGGAGTATCTAATAGTCCGGTAAATTTGTGTGATCCGGCTGGATTGCGAGGTAAAGAGCTGTCACGCCATGGTACACGTAGACGTGGAGTTTATTTCTAGCGTGTCAACCAGCGCTTCCAAGCTTACGCTCAGTCGTATTTATCTCATCTTGCCACTGAGTCATAATGGACTTATTGGGAGAGAGTACGCTTAACTCTAAACAAGTCTTTCTCACAGCAATCCATTTTGTACTCGAGTTTTCTTTACCACGCACTTACACTAACCTCAAGCATCACCCAATCTTCCATACGTTGTGGATGCGGACTTTGTGGAGAAGGAGGGGTTAAATGTTGGATTCATTGACCACTTGAGTCTGAAATTCGTTCGGGCCCAGAATGCTTGACACCGTTTATGTCCAATGCTAGTATGGCACCTACCCTGGAATCCGGGGTCCGTGTGAAAGCATGCAACTTGGTGGAGACATGAATAAACCTGAAGCTGCTGTTTTCTCAGTATTTACGACATTTACTGGCTATACCGGAAATATATATTATGAACAGTAGAAGCGCGCTCACCGGCCTGACAACGGGATGTGCTCGTCCCCCTGTGCCTTGACACTCAACCTGGAGCTACCGCAGACATTGGCGTAAGGACTAGTAAAAGGGGAAGGGGGGGGGGAGAGAGCACTGAAAAAGACAGGAGAGACCGAGGTTGCCATTTCTGGCTTGTTAGATGCTGTCAGTCGGCTCTTCAACTGTAGTTAATGTGGCAACGGCATAGAGAAAGACCCCACATAACTGTTAGTAGACTGTGGATCGTGCCATACGTGATTTATGGTAAAAGGAGTTTCATGGGGGGCAGCTCGCTAGACAGGAAGCTAACAAAATGAGAGAAATTGCCTGGATTTATGCCGAAAGTCTTATCCTACGCCATTGTACGACAACGGAAACGAGAGTAGTAAATAAATAATAAACGAAAAGTAACTTTCACAACATAACGGATTTTGAGTTAAGGTGTGTAATTTCCGCGGCAGCCTGCAAATGTATGCTAAAATAAAACCACATATGACACGATCCACAGTCCACTGACAGTTAAGTGGGGTCCTTATCTATACCGTTGCCGTTAATATTCTCGATCGTAACCTACAGGACAGCGAGCCCATGGAACGTTGGACTCATTAATCCCCGATAACGAAAGAACACGGGTTCGAGCCTCCAAGTCCCCAAACCTGGGGTTGTGTAAATCCGGCTGAGGACGGCTGATAACCCGCAACTGGCCATCCCGGTTTCCCTTGTATTTGTCGGTACCGCTTTGTGTACCTCTATTGGTCACTATTTCATTGCTTCGAGGGCTCCAGACTGAACAGCAAGGCCTAACGGACGAGGACGTCTCGTAACCCGACCGGTGATGGACTCTCACAACACATTAATGTATCGGAATGCTACTTATATTTATGAAGATTTCTGATGTGAATAAATGAATAATACTTCCTTCCTATAATAGGTAAACATTTGGGACTTCGAAACCACGGTAGATCCCGAGTTCCAACTCTTCATTTCAACACAACTCTCAAATCCAGTCTACAGTCCGGAACTGCTGGCCAGTGCTGCGCTGATTGACTTCAACGTCACTGTGAAGGGTCTTGAGGACCAACTTTTGGCGCGAGTCATTACACTGGAACGCGAGGTGGGTGTGCAATGGAATGCGACAGAAGAAGCAACCATTGAGTAACACGTGGAAGATGACTTAATAGGCACATGTTCAATAGGCACTATGTAGTCCGGCAAGGTGCACTGTTTAGTTGATGAGCTGCGACGAAGCAGCGGGCGATTTAAAATGATTTGGTACGGCCGATAAGTCGTGCTCATTGTGAGTTTGCTCATTAGACAGAATTTCCAGTCAGCGGTGCTTTAATTGGCCGACTAAAGACATAAAGACACCGGCGTTTTCCATGAGGCACTGTCCTAAGTGGCCGAAAAGTCTTTCAGCAGCTGGTTGTTACTTCGGTGACGAGTTAACCGGGAGATATGGTGGTAAAAACAGTTGGAATTCCTTGACCATCACAGTAGGGAGGGGGGAGGTGATAAGTCACACTTAGAAGTAGAAGGTAGGTGCGAGGAAAAAGGAGGGAGGGGAAGTCGCTGACCGGACGTCACGTGACCGGCGTGGCACACTGCCACACGGACGTACTCGCGAGGCCGAAAACACCACGCCTGAGGAAAAACGATCGATCAGTCCGCCGTCTGACGAGGGGGAGGCCAACGAGCACGCCGACGCAGAGGCAACCACGTCAGGCGTGAGGGAGACACAAGGCACGCCAGTCCGCCAATGGCTGGGATCAGAGAGGTCACAAGCAGCCAACAGAAAACAGGCAAGTCGACGTACGTGCGCTGGGCACGGTTATAATACGAGGCGGGCGGCAAGGCTGAACAAGGCCAGCAGGAAACGCCAGCTAACGACTCTGATGATGGGAACGAGGGAGTTTCCGAAACGTCAATTGAATACAATCTGGTTCGCGAAATCGCTTTCTCTTCTTCGTATTTCTCGGGGGACGATAAACACCGGATATACTCTCTACGGAGTCCTTGGACGTTGAATCGGCTAATAGTGCCCAGCCAAAACGACCTGGGTGAGTGCGTGAGCTCTACAGGTGGAACTGTCGACTCAGCCCCGTGTGTGTTTGTATGGAGTGGCGGACTGATGGACTGAGAGTCATACCACAATGGGTCCTTTTTACATACGGCCTCTTTGGCACTATCACTCCGTGCGACCCCAGCCGCCCTCCACCCCTCTTCTCTTTACCGCGGGTCCAGGTGGGGGAGGAGAGGGTGTGATAGAAGTGTCGAAAGTCTGCAATCACTTTAAACTAATTCACACGCAAGTCGCCATCCCTGCTCTCACCCTGCTGTGGCGTGCATGGTGGGCATCGTCAAAATCGACAGTCGAACGGGTGGGACCGTCGCGAATGGATGATTGCGTTGTGCTTCCGAGGGCGCACTCCATCGATTTGCTCGGCTGATTGGTTTGTTGGGGCCTGAGATCAGATGGCCCACCTCTGCCGTTTAAACTCGGAGTCGTGGTCATTTTTGTCCGCCATGCGTGTCAAAGCTGCCAGCCAGAGGTGAAAGCCCAACGTTGGACCGGGGCTCCAGAGACCTGAGGGCCTGTGCATGTGTGGGAAAGAGGCAATACGCTAAATTGTTATCACAGCGCTCAAGACGGACAGTTCGCTAGAATATGCGAAAGGTTTTGCCAATAACACGAACAAATGGCAGACGACAAGTCCTGTCAAACTTGAAGCACCACGTTGTGATCGTTTGTGTGCCTTACAGCATAGTGAGGTGGGGTTTTCTCGATTGCCTTTCCCTGTCTCGAAAACATTTACTACAGACTGGACATTAGCGGGAAGATTGCCGCCAAAAAGTAGGTAATAACCGCAGAGCTTCTGTCGTGACTTTTTGCCTAGCCTCACAAAGTAAGGCCTCGACTGTCCTGCGGTTGCAGTCATGTGCATCGACGGTATGTTTCCCGTGCTTTATCTTCTCGCCATCAGTCTTCTTTAGGGTGTTTTGGGTCTTCGTGGGAAGGGCTCATTGGTCGAACACAAAGGGACTTCAGTGTTCATGGCCCCGGCGGTCTTTAAGCGTTAGACCCTCGAGGGCCTGTCCTAGCTAATTGGGCGGGGAGCGCTTAACAACTACTGCATAAAATACTGCGTTTTGAAATAACTGCCAGAGACGGAGTGCATAGGTTCCGATTGAATTAGACTAGTCTGTTATTCGTAGTTGTTGAACAGTTGCACTGAATTTTGCTTATTAACCAAACCTAGTGAAAGGACTGCCGATACAAGCAAAGATGCGAGTTCCAGGAACTAGTTGATAAGAAGCAGAAGCGATCGCTGGAACAAGAGTTTTAATCGCCCGGCGTTTCGGATTCTCGCTCGAATCCATCATCAGAGACAGTGACAGGAAGGGGTGATTCGTGCACAGGAAGTTGCTGCATTTATAAGGTGCAGCCGATATGCCAACGCATACCTATGATAAGTAACCGCTCTCCCCTTCATCGAAAATTGTTGTCCGCTGGTTCGCTAAGTGCTTGATGGCCGGCATACAAGTTGTTAACTGCTGAGCCGCGAGTTGCTTGCGTCATGGTTCACGGGACCCCAGTCTATCAACAAGTGCAACGACATCCCTACTCCATATTCGGTGCTGAAACAGAGTCTGGCCAAAGTGATTAAGCACTCGGGGAGCGCGCAGGCCGGTGAGCCAGGTGGCCGAACAATCATCATGCCAGTATCCGACACGGGTGATGAGATTTCAGCAGTTAACTTGTATGCCAGCCACCAAGCAATTAGCGCACTAGCGGGCAACAATCCTCGATGAAGGGCAGAGCGGTTACTCATCATAAGGCAAGTAAAGCTCCTGTTCCAGTGAAAAAAAACTACATGACAGTGAATGCGGGGCTAATTCGTCATCTTTAAACACCAATGTCTAAAGTTTATGGACCTTAAGTCCAAGAGGGTCACTTTAGACCGGCATGCCACAGTCTACTGCCCATCCATCGTCTTAATGTCTGCCATCTGTGATGAGGGAGAATTATCATCCAGTTCTTAAAAGCTGGATAGACACACGAAGATTTCTTTTATCTACAAATATACCTCCGACATACATTGGGTATGGACTTAGACGATACGGACTACCAACTATTTCGATTTGTCATCTAAAAAATAAAAAATCCTAATTGAGCACTACTTTAAGAATCAGAAAAAGAAACAACTAGTTCACCTCTGATTGCGAGGGAAGTTTAGGATGATAATTAATTGCTATGTTGGCATTTGAATACATATGCCTGATAGCAAGTTGAAAAAGCTTGATGGAGCACTCTTCTCCCAGGAAAACCTAATAGCGTAGCTAAGAACTTTTTGCTCAATGACTGCCGCTTGAAAATTAATAACATTCCCTTATTGCCCCTTTTTAACAAAAGAAATTAGAACGGTCCCGTGTGGAACTGCTGACAAATATGGTAGCGAATAAGAAGAAGGTCGAACAGCTGGAGATCAACCTCCTGTTCCGTCTGAAGA